TCTCTTCTCATCTCACTCTTTTGATTTTTACACATGTTTTCTTCCAACTTCTTTGGTTTCAGTTTCGAACGTTCTCACCTCCTTTTTGGATTGAGCACGTCTTTTTTGGGTTGAGCAGACGTTTCAGAGGTCATGGATGTTTTAGCTCTTCCAAACAATTGCAAACAGCAGGTAGGAGGCCAAACGTCTTTTTTATTGTGAAAAAAAAAAAGAAGATTTAACCCCAAAAAAAAGAGTACAAACACCCAAAAAGCTAATCGGGTCGACGCATGACAGTTCGGGCGAAGAAGACGACCTACGCGGGTCAGCGATGACCCACTTTCGAAAAACCCTAATACAAAATGACGAGTCCACAGAGGGAGGTCGGCTCCCTCCTCAATTGACAGCTCGGCCTCAACCTTCCAATCTCAAAGGCCTCAGTTAACCGGGTCCTGCCTGTAGAGTTGATGCCGAACTCTTTGGTTTGTGGTCAGTCTCCTTTGTTACTATTCGGTCTACGGCCTTGAGATCACTTTGCCAATGTTCGTCTACTTCCTTCAATTAAAACATCACCGGTAAGGGTATTATTATTTCTCAGTCCGACAACGCAATAAGCTATTGGTCGGAGAAGCGCTTATATATATAGTTTATAGTAAATGACATATAATGTGTATACAATTTTATTTTATATATTATATATAATATAAAATTATATATAATACATATTATAAGTAATGTTTTTAAAACCGGATCAAACAAGAGACCGTTATGACTCCAATTCTCGGGTTGAATGGTTCTCAGATTCTTAGTTTTCGGGTTCAACTGTTTTTTATCAAAAAACGGTTTTGGGATAAAACAGAACTGGCCAAATGACCGGTTTCCAATTTTTCCGGTCCGGTCCGGGTTTGAAAACCATAATCATAAATGTCATATTATAATATTAATATTAGGCGCAAGCGCGATTCTAAATTTTATCAACCTAATACTCGCGTAGGCCCAAGGCCAGAATTTCGGGGTTGGGTTGCCCCTATCCAAACCCATAAAGAAGCAATGCTATTTACAGTTTACTGCTGTTTACATTTTTGGCTTCTTCCTACAGACATGACGTTATTACCGAACTGTACCAACTATGAACTACAACTGGAGAGTATGACGTCAGTTGTTGTCACCTACTGGACTGTGACCTGGTACAGTGTCATTGCATTGTTTTGTGTTTTTAAATGATTAATATAAATTTGTGAAAAAATTGTGTTACCACATCATATATAAACTAGCGGAGGTTTGTAAAAGCTAAATTATTATATAGTAAAAAAAAAGGAATTTGCGAAAGGAAACTTTTTTAATTATAAGTTTTTAGGAAAAAAGATTTATATGGATAATAATATATTTAATAAAATAAAATAATAAATAAATAAATATTATAGTTTTGAAGTCAATTTAATATAAATAAATCAAATTTGTTATTAAATAAAGAATACAAATCTTTTTTTCTCGATTTCCTAGTCGGGTTTTAGAATTTATATGGGGTTAGGCTTGGGCTCAAGATCTAGGCCCGATGGTCTGATAGACTACTCAGGCTTGGGCCTAAATATGTTTCATTGATATAAAGGTAAATAGGTTTAAGCCCAACCCCGAGGGTAGAAATAGGGGGGGGGGGGGGGGGGGAATACTAATGGTTCCCCCACTCCCCATTTCCCATTCCCCATTCCAATGGTGTCCCCCCCTCCCCCGGGATACTTTAGAGGATTAGCTCGGCACAACCCTCGACTCAAGCCCGTGCAGGCAAGTGTCGTACCACGGGACAGGCTAGTCCATGGGCCAAGTCTTAAGCCAAGTAGGACCACGAATCAGGCTAATCCATGTTTTTTAAAAATTTTGAAAAAAAATAGTGAAAAAGTTAATATAAATTAAAAAAAATAGATAAAAAATTAAAAATGATCTTAAAATTTTATTTTATATGAATTTTGATGTATACAATTGTTTATATATGTAATAATAAAATGAAATAATATAATAAAATTGAAAATAAAATTATATATTATATAATTATTGTATATAATATACGACCTGAGCCCGTGTAGGCCCATGCCATACCGCAGGCTAGGCCACAAACTGGGCTAAGCCATGTTTTTTCTAAAGTTAAGAAAAATAATGAAAAAAATTAACATAAATTAAAATAAATAGACAAAAAAACCAAAATAAGATCTTAAAATTTTATTTTGATGTGAATTTACCATGAGACCGGTCTCATGGTAAATTCTACGTGGCAAGATAGGTTTCAAGATAGGGGAAGGGGAGGAGAGAGAGATACAATTGAAATGTTTTTATATAAATTAAAAAATATATAAAAATTTTAAAAAAGATCTTAAAATATTATTTTATAAGAATTTTGATGTGTACAATTGTTTATATATTCGATAATAAAATGAAATAATATAAAAAATTGAAAATAAAATTATATATTAATATATTATATAATTATTGTATATAATATATGGCCCAAGCCTACACGGGCCTGTGCCATGCCATGGGTCGGGCTGGTCCGCGAGCCAAGACTAAGGCCAGGTCAAGCCATGAACTAGGCTAAGCCATGTTTTTTAAAAATTTTGAAAAATCTAACATAAATTAAAAAATAAACTAAAAAATTAAAGATCTTAAAATTTTATTTTAGCTTGAGCTTGCACGGGCCTGTGCTGTGCCATGGGTTGGGCTGGTCCACGGGCCAAGTCTTAGGCTAGGCCGGGCCACGAACTGGGCCAAGCCTATTCATGGGCTCAGAAGCCCAATAATTCAGCCCGACCCATTAACAACGCTAAATTAATTAATTGAGATAGCCTTTACCAATCTTGTGTTGATAATACATAAAGTTTTATTTATTTATTTACTTATTTTACTAAATTATTTAATTAGTTAATGATTTAATAATCTAACAAATTATTATTGCTAGCAAACTAAGACATAGAATCGTGTATATATTTATATATTTACTCTCTCACTTGATTGTCTATTTATCTTATTTATTTTAGTCATCTCTCCCTCTTTCACTCTATTGCATGATGGCCGTGATTATTTATTTATTGTTTTATTTTATTAAATTAAATATATTATTATCCATAAATTTTTATTTATTTTCAATAGATATTTTTTTCAATAAAATTTTAATTAAAAAATACACTTTTCACAATTTTTTTTCCTATATAATAATTTACCTTTGACAAGCCACTTACCATCATGTTTGGCTCCTACAACGTAGGGGCCCCTCCTTCTAGTATTCATAAAAGCTCGATCAATTTGCAGAAACCCGATTGATCTAGGCCTAATCCAACATAGGTATGCTTGTATTGAGCCTAGGTTGGTAAAATCCCTCATGTTGGCCCAAGCCGGAAGTTGAAATTTGCATCTTTGGCTCAATTTGGAAGGAGGATAAATACAAATATAGAGTGCAAAATGGCAAAACCTTGTATTTTGTATGTATTTGCACTGTACATATTTGTATTTGTAATTTGAGCACTAAGGTAAGGCCGTGTTACACTCCTAGGAGTCTTCAAATTCAAATGATAAAACAAAAAGCAAACCAAGTCGAACTGAACCGAATAAGCTAGTTCGCTTAAGTTAATTTGGGTATTGGTTTAGTTTGGTTTTGGTTTTTCTGTTTTTTGTTTTTTGTTTTATAAATCGGTTATTGGTTTTGATTCAATTTGGCTGAGGTTTTCAACCAAACCGAACGAACCAAAAACAAAACTAATGCTTTTATTTAATTAAGTATATTAAATTTTTAGGGTCCGTTTGGTTTGCAGTTGGAATCGGAATCAGAATCGAAATCCTTTGAAATCAGAATGATCCATTCCCATAATCTATTTGATTGAAAAAGGAATGAGAATGGGAATTAGAATTAACAAGAATGGAATTTCATTCCCAAGGGAGGGGTAGGGATGAGGGAATGGCCATTCTAGCATGAATATGAATGAGATTCCGATTCGACCCAACCAAACAGTTAAAATTGGAATAGTCCATTCCAAGGTTCAAAGTATTGATACGATAGACTATTTTGGTTGTTTGGAAAGATTATAGACTATTTTTTATTATTAAAAAAATGGGATAACAGACGTTTCAGACTGTATTGTTTGTAAAAGATACAATACGATACGCCCGATATGGTGCGTATCATATTGATACATTGAACCATGGTCCATTCCGATTCCGATTCCGATTCCAGACCCCTATTCCTGCGAATCAAACCGGGCCTTAATGTTCTATTTAATACTTTATACCTATTAATTATTATCTTTCTCAATAACTAATTTGACAATTTCCTATCATGGTCAATTCGACAATTCACCATTGCAATAGACTTTAAGTCAATTCTAATTTTTAATTAATAACACTTATTAATTATTCATTAATTATGAAATGTTTACCATTTATATGAAATCAAGCCATCATCAAACCGAACCAAATCAAACTGAATTCAATTAATATCAATTTGATTCAATTAAACCGAATAATACCAAACTGAATTCAGTTAAGATCAATTTGATTCAATTAAACCGAATAATTGATCAGGTATTCGATACTAACGAAAACGAATCGACCGATTGTACACACCCCTAAATAATAGTTTGTATATATTGAAATGAGAGTGATAAAAAGGGTTTAACTTAGCCAGGCTTTCCACGTGTAGACAGCTCCTTTGACTCTCTTTCTCTCTCTCTCCAAACTTGGATGACATAGAATTCAACATTAACCGGGTAGGCGGGTAGATGCTTCTCAGAGAGTCAGAATTGGCCTTAAGTGGGGCCCATCTTACATGGGCCTAGACCTCCTGATTGTCCAAAACGTGGCTTGTTATTGGGTCTCACGTGGCTTCATCGAGCAGCCTGAAGCCTCACATCGCATCGCCAAACGCCCAAACCTTTTCTCTTCAGTCTTCACCGGTGAAAGTCGTCAGAAAACAAGTAGGAATATAAATGGAATTAATAGTTTTAATTAATTTTTAGGGCTTGATAATTGATAAATGATAAATGATTCCTCTCTTTTTTATTATTATTCCCGTTTCCACCTTCGGCCCCGACCCCGAGAGAGATCGGAACCGGACCCAACACAACCAGGCCTCGTGCTTCCTTCCCCATCTCTCTCTCTCTCCTCTTCCTTTTTCTTTATCGATTACGAGAGGGTCAGAGCTTTCCGGTTCGTAATCATTCGGAGACAAAACGCTTCGGTAGTTCGGTCACGAAATCTATGCTCGAAAATCCAATCATTTTCTGTAAGTACTATTCTCGCAAAAAAAAAAAAAAAAGACATTAGAATGAACCAAACCAGATTTTCAACGAGCCTTCAATTCAAACGTTTCTAGCTCAATTTCTTTTTTTTCTGTTTTTAGGTAAAAGTTGTTTATTTTAAGTTTAGTTCTTCGGCTTTCTCGTTCACCTGAGATCTATTGTACTGTTTACACTTTCTGTGTTGGAGACGTAATTCTGTAGATTATAGATCTATGTGTCGTTTTGCTTTCCGCCATTAAAGCTCGTTTCTCGTACTGAGCTCCCATTTTTTGAGACCAAAAGACCAGAACTGATCTTCCGCGTTCTTTCGTTTTACCATAAAGTATTCCCTTCCCTTTTTCAGTTTTTCGGATCTTGCACAGGAGCTTATCGAACAGAAAAGATTCCTTGGATGAGGTCAAAGTATTCGTGACAAAAAATAAAAAACCTAGAAAATAGAGCAAAAGAATTTTCGAATTTTTGTTCCTGTGTTAGGCTTAAAATCTAAGCTAGAAGTTCGATTCTTGAAAATTTCGGTCACTTCGGATTTTAAATCGAGAGCAGAAAGATTGAAATCCTTGCCTTTGTAACAGGAAAATTTGGATTAGCACTCCGGGAAATAGACGTCGGCAGTTGGGCTGCAGAAAATAGGGATTTCGGTCTTCCATCACGAGAAGAAAAGAAGAATAAAGAAGCTTAGAGATCAAAGTTTATCAGTGGTTGAAGTGGGTGAGTTGCAGAGATGGGATCTTTCAAGGGTCACGTTCTGCCAGGGACGTTGTTTCTTCTGGTTGGAGTCTGGCACATATGGAGCTCGATGGTAAGGTACGTGAAGAACCCTAAAGGTTTCAGGGTTAGGGTTTGGAACCCTGTACCGGGATTCGACGGGAGGCTCAAGTATACGGAGCTTTATGTGGTTGCAATCGGAGCTTTCATCGACATGTGCATCGAGCTCCTGTACTCGACCCACCTCAAGTTCTTCGTTAATGGCGTCCTGAATCCTTCTCACATGAACGATTTCGAGCACTCTGGGATGCTTCTAATGTTCTTCATCTTTGGCGTCGTCGCTCTGCTTTCTGAAAAGACCAGGTCAGTCCCTTCTAACCTCCTTCTTCGTCTTCTTCGTACTGAATGATCGGGATTTGGAATTGGTAGCTAATCGTGGCCGTTAATCGAATGCAACGCGAAGATATCATCATATCAATGATGATGACTTTCTGAGAAGGGACTGCCGTACTTTTCTCTGTGATCATGTCAAAAATACAAAAGGAGTGTATTACGTCGGCTCAATCAATGGGTAATGGGTAATGGGACACCATCCATCAATGGTGCTTCTGAGTTCTGTTGTAAAGGGTATAGACAGAGGACTACCATTGTATTGGGAATCGGGATCACATAAACCTTTCTCCTCTGGGGATGTGGGTGGGGAAAATGGGTCGGGTTAAGCTTCCTCAGGTCACTTAGATTCGTCATCTTCCAACTTAGGGACGATCTTAAATGGAGCGGGTATACCCTACCAGGACCCGAACCCGGATTATACAGTCGGATTGGTGTTAGACACTGTTGGACCGAACTTGTTCATTCAAATACCAAGTTGGATGGATATTGTTCTTTGTTCAAGCCCTCTGCACTATATTATATCCTTTTTAAAAGCACCTTTCCTAGAATTGATTAAGGTGTCTAAGAATAGGCCACCCCAAAAGGTGTCATAATTCTATTGATTATGACAATGTTGGAAGAAAACTGAGAGTTGTGGACCAAAAAAACGTTTACGTGGACATCAATTTCTTTATGAATTGAATACAATAAGCTAATGGGTCCATGAAGTTTTTTACTTCAGGATAGTCCTCCTGGTAGCATTTTTAATGCATCTGATCATATCATAAAGTCTGTACTGATGATTGCTTGCACCTAATTCTGATGACAGTGCTGCATGAACAATATTTTGATTAGCCCCACCCATTTCTTTTGTCCATCAGATTTCTCCCATTGCCAGAAGGAGCTCTATGCTTGATCGTTGCCACAGCATTCTCTGCAGAGTATCTTCTGTTCTACTTCCACTCAACTAATCATAAGGGCCTTGAGGGATACTACCATCTCCTCCTAGTCATCCTTATAGGCCTCTGCATTTTGTCCACAGTGTTTGGGGCCCTTGCGCCGACTAGTTTCCCTGTGGACTTGTCCTCTGGTATTGCTATCACCCTGCAAGGCCTTTGGTTCTATCAGACTGCCTTCACTCTCTACGGACCCATGATGCCAGATGGTTGTATGCTGAAAGGTAATACCATCTCATGCCGATCAATGGATAATCAAGTCAGAGGAGAGTTGCTTGCCAATTGTCAATTCTTTGGTCTGGTTCTTGGTGTTATTGCTTTTGCCCTGGGGTTATACAAAGCTGCAGCTTCAAGATATGGGCATTCTGAATTAAGGAGCTTCCATGCTGCTGAAAATGGTTTTGTCAGAGATTAAGGAGGTAGTTTTATTTATTTATCTTGCACGTATCTCTTTTGAGAACAATATAGAGGAACAGTTTGAGAAGTTGTGCATATAGGTGACCTCTCAAATTGAGGGTCACATCTGATTGATCTCCAAACCATAAATGAATGTGGTAGGATGATCTCAGATGCTCATTTTGTTTTCTTTTATTCATGAGGTACCCTTCTGTAGCATTGAATAAGCTACAAACATACAAATTCTTGGAGTTGGAGCACTCCTAGCTTGTGCTTGGGTTGGGTGTGCATTAAGTTGAGAAGGTCTAGAATGTTTTTTTGGTAATGCCATTACCATCTACTGATTCGTCCAATACAGAATCAGTGACATTCTTGTTCTTCATTTTCATCTTTCTTTTTTCAAGACAAGAAAGCAATGGTTAATCACATGTCAGTTGTGCCAACAGCCAAAGGATTCACATAACTCAGGCTTAAACTATCTTTACATTTATTTATGATACCTATTTAGATTTTCAGGTTGATTTTACCTGTCCATGGCCCAGTAGTCGAAATGGTCACTCAGCACCCCTTCAAATGAGGCATGGGATCAAACATTGAAACTGCAGGCTTTCCATGGCATGGCCAGTGGGCCTTACGTGCACCCTGCTATGCCCCACCCCTGATTCCCCTATAATGTGGAGTATGTAATACAAAAAAAAAGTTGATCTTACCTAATTAAGTTGGAACTTTGTTGACTATACAACTAATGGTTAAAAAAAAGAAAAAGAAGAAACCCATATTTGGGTGGTTTAGTCCATCTATTGACATTTGAACCCTTCCCTGCAACTTGATCATACTTTAGCAATTGTTACTATATAAGATATTCTTATATCATTATCTTCCAAGTTCCATACACTGTATTCGCCAAATCTGGTTAGGTTTAGAATATCTTTTAGCATCCCCGACAACTTTGCTACGGCCAGCACCTCAGCATGGGAATCAAAATGTTATTTTCTAGGCAAGGTTGTGCGTTGGATAGTAATTGTCAGCTTTATGTAGGATTATATTGATGATAATCTAGTTTTTGTCCCTTTTTTTCTGTGTTATTTACAGGTTTTAATGGATGAACAGGAGAGTAGGCATGCTGAATCGCATTGAAGTTGGGCTAAGAAATCCTTGAGTCGTAAGTGGGCAATAATGTTCAAAGAGACGTTCTGTGTGGAACACTTGTTCCTGGCCTAACCATTCTGTAGATACCAAGTTGTTCCTCAGTACAGTTTGTAACCAGAAGAGTGTTTTAGAGGAGATCAACTTCAACCATCTCAAAGCCCTGTGAAGCACTCAAAAACATTTGAAATTCTTTATGAAGTACTTTTCCTTGCAGATGTTCATGTATGGTTTATAGGGGTACCCGGAGTTGGATTTTGCACAGCGGAGGTAGTTTTATTGGTCAAAGACATGGGCCACACACCCTAGCCCCAGGTGGAATGTCTAGTGTCTACTACAAAGTGGGTTCAATGTCAAGTGTGATGAACAGATGTGCTTTTTTCCAGCATAAGTAATCAATAAAGGTATTGAAGTAGATGGGCGATTTGTTTTTAGTTGGTGCCAAAAGTTGTAGGTTCTCTTGCATGGAAGTTGCTTAGTGGGTAAGTTTGGTATATATATCATATATGGTTGACAGATGTTGAGACTTGAAATTACCCAAAATAAAAGGATGTATTTAGACCAACTGCTATGAAAAGAAACGAATAAAATGAAGATGCCTTTGAATGCACTCTTCCTAAACCAAGACCTAGCTAGTTTGCCTTGGGTTGACAATGTAACGAGTCATTTTCCAAGGTCTAGAAGCCTTTGATGATAGTCTGTCTGGTGAGACTTCATGTTTTTGTGATAGTTTCTTATTTAGAGGATACCTGCCTACCTGGTGATTTTCAGATTGAGGAAGGGTGTATGTTAAATCATTTTATGGGGAGACAATGGAGTCCGTATCTGCTGCAGAGACCACAGTCGCATCCCATTGTTGCGAGTTGCGACCTCCAAATATCAATGGGCATTATCATTATTGGACTTCTTCGAATGAAAAGAGTAAACGGTCCGGTTCACGGTGATTAGGGCACGCGGCCCCACGCCTCCTTGTTTCTCCGTTATCATGTCTTTTTCGAAATCATAGTTAAACTCATTTGTATCTCTTCGCTCTCTATGTCTCTTAAAAGAGAAGACTTTCACTGATTCAAATGGTCGTGCCCGTGCGGCCGTGCCTCAGATTTTCTCTTCCCGTCTCCAATCAGCGACGACAAACAACATTATAGTAAAAGAAGCGAGATTTACTCCGCATGTTCCATTGTGCAGCTGAAAGGTGTTTTAAGGCTGGTGTGACCGTGTGACTCGTGAGGAGATCTAGAATTTTTTTTTTAGGTAAATTACATACAAGTACTTTGTACTTTGGGATGGTAATAGATAGATATCCTGAACTTTTAATTGCAACATTTAAGTACTTTGAACTCTAAAAAATACACTTAGGTCCATTCCGTCAGTTAAACATTACATAATGCCAAAAATACACTTTTTATATATTTTTACTCCATAGAATGATCTTAAACATACACGATGAGGGTATTTTTGACATTATGTAATGTTTAACCGATGGAATACTAACGGATGGACCCAAGTGTCTATTTATGAGAGTTCAGGGTACTCAAGTGTTGCAATTGAAAGACTAGGGTACTTATCTATCACTACCCCCAAAGTACATGGTACCTATTTATAATAATTAACCTTTTTTTAATATCTTCTAAAGGGTTACACAATGGGGGGGGGG